TTCAGTGAGTGCACTTAGGCTCTGGAATGCAATCCTGAGTCACTTCCTCATTAGCAATGATGGAGAATTAGGAGAGCCTTTGGTGCATAATTCTCATGCCATCTTTAGTATTTTAAATGCTTGGCTTTTCCCTACTATTTTGTGGTCTTCTGGATTGATTTTGGTAGGGCTGATATGAACCAGCTACTAGTATATCAGATATACATATTGAGCAGGGAGTGACCAAATATGACATTGATGCCATCTTGTCAGTGGTGGTATTCGACCGGTTTGGCCCAGTTCTGCTGAGCCGGTAGCGGCGATGAGCAGCAGAGACTGAAACGGTTCTCTCCAACGCTCTGCTGTTTGGTCCGCCCGGGCTCCCATACTAACCTTTACGTCCTGCTTTTGAAGCGCGCATAGCAACTGCTGCGCGGCAGCTGCTGAAGTGTCACGGAGAGTGCAGGATTGCAGGAGGGGAGTCGAAACGCCTCTGCGCCTGCGTGAAGTATGTGTTTGGCACGCGCACACGCCATGCCCACTGAACGGGTGATGAAAATATTTTAAACACACCACTGCATCTTGTGACACTCTGCCCCTTTCTCTGCCCAACCAATTTGTTTTTCGTAGTCCTTTTCCCTGAAAGCCTTGCAAATTTTGCAACTCATCCCGGTCTCTGCCTTCCCCCAACTTCAGTGTTTCATCCAGTTCTTTCTTTTCAGCCCAGTATGCTTCCTTATTGCCATCCCTTTCCCATTCTGTTGCTTTCTGTCATTTAGTTTCCTGGCCTTCAGCCATCTTCTCTAGGCTGTACTCTTGGTTTTGTTCTCCTTCATTTTGTAGTTTATCTTCCTATCCTCTTTTTTATTTGCTGGGATCAGACATCATGCTCAGCCCTAATATGGTTTGCTTAGGTTTGGTTTGTTATCATTATAATCACTGTGGGTTAAGAACGGATTAAAAATATGTGAAAATAAGATTACTGATTATTTTCCTCAGCATCTTGTCCTTAGGCCTTTTTTCTTTGGCAAGTCTTCCTATGAGTTTCTTTCTCCATCACTGCCTATTCTAGTTTTTTCTTTTTACTGAATTACCTGTCCTTTGGGTTCCTGTATCTTAGTTTTCTTATTCAAGGTGCTCTTTTCTCACGTATCATCTGAACTCTGTCTTTCTGCATATAGCTTTTTTTTTCCTTTCTTTCTTTCTTTCTTTCTTTCTTTCTTTCTTTCTTTCTTTCTTTCTTTCTTTCTTTCTTTCTTTCCTTCCTTCCTTCCTTCCTTCCTTCCTTCCTTCCCTCTCTCTCTCTCTCTCTCTCTCTCTCTTTCTTTCTCCTTCATGGTGTTTTTGCTGGAAAAACATTACCATTTTACTTTCCACTTAGAAATGTTAGTGTTTGTGAGCATTCAATTGCTAATTGTTTTCCCTCTTCAGTTAAAATTCTTTTAAACATTCCATGACACTATAGGCCATCAGCCAATGGATAGGATCTTGGAGACTAATAGACAGTGGGCAAAATCTAACACTGGCAATGAAGATTCTCATAGAATGGGATTTTCTATTCAACCCCTTTCCTTCCCTCAGTGATGGATTTAAGCCACTGGATTCCATATAACGGACAGCTGCCAATTCTACTTTATATAATAGGTTTTATCTCATGAGAACATACAGATTTTGATCTTTTTAGGCACCTCAACCACAGGAACTGCTCAAAAGCGAGTGACATTAAACTTTATAATTGATAATCCTTCCTTCCAGGCTGCCTATTTAAGAAAATGGAGCAAAAACTCCAGAGGATCCACTAACTTCTAAAAAAAAAATGCTAAAAATTTCCTAATTCCAGGTTTCTGCATCTTGCAACTTTTTTTTTTCTTGCACCAATGGAATATAAAGCACTGGATAAGACATTTAGCAAATTGGTTGTCAAAAGGGTAGATTTAAAAAGTCAGAAAGAAACAAAGGCCGAAGAGATAGAAATTGAGTGAAAATTCTAATCCAAACCATCCATAAAAGAAAATTGAAATATTTTACTTCTGGGCTCCATGCAGCTGCCTCAGATATTAACTTCAGCTCTTTAAGTGTGGAACCAGAAATCTATATGGATCTGTTGCTGAAATTCATGATGATGATGAGTCATCCAGAATTAGCTGCATGAATATGGCCCCAGCTCTGAATGTTTCTTTGTGCAAGGAAGATCAAGTCTGCTGTTGCTCTGTTTGAACAAGAAGGAGCATCTGTGTCTGCCCCTTGGGGTGCCGAGTTATCTAGAATGCACTGTGAAGCTAGATTTGGAGAATGGATAGTTTGACCATCCCTTGAGTTGAAAAGGCATTGGAAATTTCACATGGGTGTCACAGCTCATCATGATACTGAGGAAATGCCTTTCAAAGTCTCCTACTAGCACTATTACAGCAGATTTCACACTAACAAATTTGAGTTGATTTCTATAGTAGTTCTCAGATCTAACAGAGACTACATTTGCTGGATAAACTGACACATGCTTAACTACCATAAATATATAGCAATTAATAGTTAACCACAGTTACAGTTAAGCAGCTAACACACATCCCCACCTCCCAATTACCAGATACGTGACATCTTCCTATCCTGCCTTTTCTTTTCCCCTGAAGAAACACCAATTTGAAATGAATTGGCTGAGAGAAAATGACTGCCCCAAAGTTTACCCAGTGGCAGAGGAAAGTCTTGGGACTCCCTAGTCCAGCGGTCCCCAACCTTTCTGACTCTGCAGACCGATAGTAGCAACGGGAAGGGGATGGTTTCGTGCACATGCCCTGTGCTTGCGCAAATGTAGCTTTGCGCACTTGCCCACTGCTTATGAGATCCAGTTCCCAATGGGCCACAGACCGGCACCGGTCCATATACAGGGGGTTGGGGACTCCTGCTCTAGTCCATCCCAACATTGTAACCACTAGGACATGCCGGTGTAAATCGGAGCTAGTCATACATTATCCATTTTCTTCTTTTTGCAGGGATAGTATCCCAGTAATCATCTGACAAATAACAGAAAGCTCATGTACAACCATTACACAGGATTCAGGGAATATCTAATGCTTCCCACATCCTCCTCTTTTCCCATAAGGTAGCCCTTCAAAACTGCAAAGGATAGAAAACAAATATGGAATACAGAACAGATGTTCCTGCTATATCTGACCTAGTTTGATTTAAGAACAATAGTTACTCACCATTTACCTTGAAACATGGTACACGTTACACCGTGGGTTCTGCTTGACCAAGACAAACTTATTTCAATGACTTTACCTCTCAAGATGCATATTTCCCTCAAAACATTACACCTGCACCATGTGGTATAATGTGTGATAATTTAGAGCAAAACTTAGGAATAAGAAACTAAGAACTAGTGACCAACTTTACCATTTTAAATGACTAGGTTTAAATAATTAGGAGCCAGTTGCAATCTCATATACTGCATACAGACCCTGAATGCCACCTTGAGATTTTTGGAGACAGATCAGACATAACTGTACTCAATAAATGAAAAGAAGGAACATCATAATAGCTAGATGATGCTATAGCCTACTGTTAGCCCTAAAATAGATTTGGACTTTGATGTGACGCAAGACACACATACTTATATGCCAAGTCTTAAAAACAGTTGGGAGTTTTTGGAACTGCCTGTCAGGATTATGAAGGAGGTGAAAAACTGCAAAGATAGCCTGTGACATTATGAATCAAAATAGAATATTGTCTAAAAATCTGCAACATCATACTTACTTTAATCTTTCAAATACTGCAAAACTTTGTTCTTCTCCTTTTGGGAACTCATTGTTATAAAAGGAGGACTGTTTTTATATGTAGAAGTTCACATGCAAAAATATTAGAAGAAGCCTCTAGGAACCAGCCATCATTAACAGTTGTTCACATGGATGCAAATGAAGTCAGTACAGAATGCCAAAGAAAGATTATGAATGTTGTTGTCCAACATATCTGGAGGGCAGCAGGTTGGGGAAACATATTTAAATCCCATCAAAATCATTGGGACATATCAATCATAATTTCATTTAATTAATTGAAGTTTAACCTCCTAAACAAAAATTTAAGTGCACTTGGCCTTCTATAAACTGGGATGCTCAATAAACTTGGAGGTGAAAAGTATTCTATTCATGAAATCAATGTGACCTCACATCATATTATAGGTTCCACCTTATATGGGAGATGGGTTGCATAAAAACTGAATAAATATGTAAACACACTATCATACTTTTCTCCTTGATAATGTGACTTATAGGGGAGATGGGAGGCATAAAAATTGATAAATTTTTTAGACCGTTTAGACGGTAAACACACTATCATGCTTTCCTCCTTGATGATGTGACCTAAGATCTTTTATTGTTGTCTCTTTGGCCACAGGAAAAATGGAGGACTTCTAGAGAATTGGAGAATATGTTGAAAGTGTGTTTCCCTCTAAGTGGAGAGAGAGAGAGAGAGAGAGAGAGGCAGCACTTAGGACTTTATCCTCAGCTCTAGAAGATTTCTCATTCACTATGTTTAAAGTATGAAGGTCATGCTAATGAAGCACGAAGGGAATTCTGACAGAAAAAAGGGGTCATAAATGCATAGACGCTTCAAACTATGACATAACCTGAATCCCCTCTCTCCACTGAAGGGCAATGCCTCCTATTAAGAGCTAGTTTGGAGTAACACATGGAGCTTCCAAGAGAGGATAGAAACAGGGGGGGGGGGGGGGTTGGTGATAAAAATAGGGAGGTATTCTGCAAAGAGAAAAATGAAGCCGTTGGTTCGCAACAAAACATGCCGATCCTTCCGATTTGTACTTGGAATCTACGTAGCAATCAAGGCTGTACGAAAATCTGCATGGCCAGCTACCGCTTGCTTGAATATTTCCTTTTAAAGCTGGCTGCTTGAAGTTCTATCTACAGCAAAAGACAATCTCCATCTCTGACTTACAACCTGTAGGGAACTCAGGATAAACAGGCTCGGAAAAGTTACACCGAGACTCACAGTCAGCCCTTCTGTCTCTCTCACCCCCAGGATGCCGTTTGGCTGCATCGGACTGCGAGATGAAAAGAATTACAACAGCCTTTCTGACATCACTGACAAGTATGAGATTGGACAGCTGCTACGAGCGTAAGTAGGGACCCTGCCTGAAACTACTTCCAGTTTGCTGGAGTCCTAAGGGCCACCTTAGAAAACACCTGGATTTGCAACCAGGCTCCTAATAATTTGAGAGATGCATCATTAAGGAAGCCTCTTCCTTTCTTCTCCAGCTATTAGATCTCTTGCAGTAACACTGCCACATCCAACACACTGTGGCATAGAATAACAGAGTTGGAAGGGACCTTGGAGGTCATCTAGTCCAACCCCCCCTGCTCGAGCAGGAGAGTCTATTCCAAATATTAGCCTCTACCTAGGATCAAACTCACAGCCTCCTGATTGTGAGGTGAGAGGTCCACCTCTAGGTCACCGGAGCTGCATCCTCTCCTGGTCAGCCTATTATGAAATAGACATGTGGATTTCAAATTGCTGAACACTACTACACTACCGTGTTTCTCATATAATAAGGCCGGGTCTTATTTTTTTTTGAGCCCTGAAAAAATGGCTAGGCTGTCTTTTCGGGGGTGACTTAATTCCCCCCCCCTTGCATCTTCGGGCGGGCAGGCGGAGATGGCTTGGATGTTGACCTCGACGTTGGTGGGGCACTTTGTATCGGGGTCAACGCAGGCAGCACCATATCCGGGTGTGCAACAAAAGTACTTCCTAATGGCACCCCCCCCCACCATTCCCCCCCATTTCGCATGGTTTAATATAGGCCTTAATTTGGGGGGAGGGGTTTAATTTCATTTCATGCCTATAAAACATGCTGGGACTTCCTATTGGGGGAGGCCATACTGTTGGAGAAACAGGGTAGTAGGTACACTACTTTTCCTGCTGCTACCAGGTACATTCCAGGTTCTGGGCCTTGGACCTCCTGGTTGTGGATCTATGGCCTCCTTTCCACTGTGGATTAATAGCCCCTCTCTCTTTGCTTGTCTTGCTCCTTGTGCTGAGGTTCCTGAAATGCTGCCTATGATGCCATCAGTGGATACGGAGATTCATCTCAGCCTGTACCTGGCCAGCCGATTTGCTACGAGCAGCAGAAGGCAGGAACAGCAACATAGGTGCTGTGAAATAGCTTATCTGATGGCAGCTGCATTACTGGCTGCTGAGAAGGATGAGCAATAGCTAGTAGATGGCTTCCCATTCTGACTGCCAAATAGACAGTCTTCTAGGCCATATGGTATTTATAATATAACACAGCTCAGTTTCAAACTTTTTCAACATAAAGATTATGACGCTCAATGAATAACAGAGGGATAATATCGATGCATACAACAGTATTGCTAATATCAGATCACCAAAACTAATAATAATGTTAATAATAGAAGAGTTAAAAGGGTTAGAGAACTATTCTAACAGAACAATTCCTCTATGTTCTCTATTGTGGCCCATACCCTCTGGAATAACATTAAGGACCAGAAAGCCCTTAAGATCTGGTTCCGTTTCCAGTTAGTATGGTTGTTATTAGCTGGTGGAGCCCCTGTGGTATTCTTGTATTGTTTGTATCGTTGGTCATGTAGTAGTTCTAGTCCTATGCCTGTTTAGATGGAGTTACTGTAAAGATGGATTTACTGTGACAGTTCTGGGCTCCATTATGGCTATAAGTCAAGAACTATTTATAGCTAAAAATTACAACTGCACTCCAATAGTTTCCATATAGGATAGCTTACAGCTTTAAGAGCCTAAGCAAGCACCCCACTCTGTGCTAGGATTTCAGTGAGGTCACTCAACCTCTGTTAAACTGAGCCCATAGAAGAGTTGAAATATGAAGTTCTTATTCCTGTCAGCAATTAGATAAATGCCAGTGATAAGGCTTAAGGTCAGGAAGTCTTTTTTTTTTTTTACAGGTGATTCTGTTTTATGTCCTTGCTGAATAAATTTATTTAATGGCCTAAAAACTGTTTATTCAAGGCTTCCCAAAAATGTAAATCAAACTTGGAAATAAAATCAATCACTTTTATATTACCCCAAATACACAAAGGAATTCTAGATGTTTCAACTTTGCCATGGTGTCTTGCCTTTACGTATTAATTCTATTTATATTCTATTTTTTCTCCACTCCAAGGAGGTAAAACACTATACAAGCTCTTCTGTCTCTTTCACACACACATCAGATTCCTACAACAAGCACATGAGGCGGGCAAGGCTGAAAAATGGTGATCATATTGGGTTTTAAAATCTCTGTAGTCTGTTTTGCTTTCTTTGATCCTAACCAGACAGCATGTAAAATATAGTTTTGCCACTGTCTATTACTTCTGATAGCTAAAACAGTTTTAATTACTTGATGCCAGGATAAACAACAGGGATTGGACATCTCTTTCCATTTTGGCTCTATACCATGTAATGATATTTGGATGGTAACTATAGAAAACAGAACATCAAGCTAGCCATTAAAAAAAAGAAACCAGGGTTCTTTCTGATCATTATTCCACAGGAAGGAATTCTGTGAGATCTGTGTGGCCCGTGAACGACAGACAGACAGGCTATACATCTGCAAGAAATTTCTCAAGAAAGATGGGCGCAAGGTGCGAAGAGCAGCCAAGAATGAAATCTTCATCCTAAAAATGTAGGTTCCTGGTGTGTATATGTGTGCGCTCATATGCAAGAATGGACGTTATCCTTCTGCATCCTTGTGTAGCAAAAGGAATTTCAGTAAAAGCCACCATCTGTATAACTCTAAATAAAGATAACCCTTTTTTTTTGTAGCAACTACCAAATGGATTAGATATATCACACCAAGGCTGTATATATCCAAATGGCCACTAGATGGCCATGCTTTGTTATCATCCAGGGCACGGCTGTCAAACTCCGGGACCATGGGCCAGACGTGTCACATGCTGGCCATGCCCACGCCCGGTTTAGCAAAGGGAGGAAAAGTCCCAATCTGTCACGGGATGATAGGTGAGTTTGACACACCCCTAGGGTTGATCTAGGGTTGCCCAAATTTCTGCATCTTCAGATGCCTAAATTAAAGGGTGTCTATAATGAGTTAATGGACACCCTAGCTAAGTTGTAGTCTATATGTTCAGTTATGACAACAGATGTACGGGGAAGGAACTTGAGCGCACTCGAGTAATGAGAAAGGGAACAGAGAGAGACCAAAATATTGGGGAAAATTAAAACAACAGACAGCAGCAAACATGCTGAGGTATTAAGGAGCCATCTGCTTCTTTGTTTTCCTGGCAGGCATCTGTGCCCTTTAACAACTGTACCACTAGATAGGAAATTGTTCACTACAGCTTCCCCCCCCCCCCCCCCACTATTTTTGAAGAGTGGCAAAATATTCTCTTAATGAAAACGGCATCTATGGGGAAAACATGAACAACAAACGGTCGGATAAGAGCTGTGCAAGATTGCCAAACTTTAGATGAGGCAGGGATGGATGAGAATCCTCTGATCAGCTGGCTATGGATAACTGCGAAAGCATCCGTTTCCGGCCTCACTTGGGAACATTGCAATGCTGATCTTTCCCACTGGAAAATGGGTCGTTGCTGGCCAGTAGAGGATGGCAGAATGGCTTCTCTTTTCAGATTATTTAGTGACACATAGGACAACGGACTACTGTATAAGTTTACTCATTTACATATCCACATTTTCTCCACTGTACCAAACTTATGTAGATGTGGTTCCAAGGGTATCTTCTAGAGCAGGGATGTCCAACCTTGGCAACTTTAAGACTTGTGGACTTCAAGCTTTGCTGGCTGAGGAATTCTGGGAGTTGAAGTCCACAAGTCTTAAAGTTGCCAAGGTTGGACACCCCTGTTCTAGAGAGTCACTGAGCCAGACTCAGCTTAAGACCCTGTCCTGGGACCACTGTAGCAAATCTCTGGCTATCCAAATGATAAAAGAACTGGGCTTAAGATCTGGAGAAACTGGCACAAGGGGGGGGGGAGGGAGGGAGCTCCCTGCCAATCAAAGCTCGATATATATTTGCCGCAGTAGAGTAACAATGAAAACTACAGGTTCCTCAATATGTATGTTTCCCTGCAACCAACAGATCCCTAGAAGCAGGGTTCTACCACACTAGGCAGCACCCAAAGCGCAGAGAGATTTCAACCCAATACACAATGGCAGTGGCAGCATACACGGAACAGCACAACCAAGTAGCTGGCACTGTATACAGGAACATCTGCACAGTGTGTGAGTTAGACCCTCCCAAATCCAGATGTGAGATTCCACAGAAGATCATGGAGAATAACAGGGCTAAGATCCTGTGTGATTTCCAGATTCAGGCAGGCAGGCATGTACTGGCCAATCAAGCCATACATCATTGTAAACAGTTCATTTAGTGACCGTTCAAAGTTACAATGGCCCTGAAAAAAGTGACTTATGTCCAGGGGTGGGATTCAAAATTTTTAACAACTGGTTCTGTAGGTGTGGCTTAGATGGTGGGCATGGCTTGGTGGTCATGTTATTGGCTGGGTGTGGCCAACTCAATATCACTCACATCGAGGCACGCATCTCCTCGCCTGGCCTCTCATGACTGTGGGGATGCTGCAACAATTGTAAGTGTGAAAAATGGTCATAAGTCACTTTTTTCAGTGCCACTGTAATTTTGAATGGTCACTCCACACAAGCAAAATACCAGCAAAGGAGGGGAAAAAAAACTCCAGAAAAGTTCCTGAGATAAGAAGTCTAGTCCTGCCAAGAACATAATAAGGGTTAAAGGAGAGGCACTTTCTGTAAGCAACACCAGAGTGTTTCCTTCCTGCCTTCCTTACAGGATTAGGCCAGTAATTTCTTCTAACAACCGGTTGTCCGAACTGCTTAGAATGTTAACAACCGGTTCTAGCGAACAGGTACGAACTAGTAGAATCCCACCCCTGTTTATGTCCATATTTCACACGATCTTTGAAGCATCCCCATGATCATGTGATCCAAAATCAGACGCTTGGCAAATGACTCATATTTATGACCGTTGCTGTGCCCCAAGGTCATGGGATCACCTTTTGCAACCTTCTGACAAGCAAAATCAATGGGGAAGCCCGAGTCACTTAACAACCGGGTTACTAACTCATCAACTGCAGTGATTCACTTAACAATTGTGGCAAGGAAGGTCACAAAATGGGTCACAAAAACTCACCTAATAAATGTTTCAGTTAACAAACAGAAATGTCGGGCTCAATGGTGGTTGTAAGTCGAGGACTAACTGTAGTAGGCGAGGCACAGAAGACAACATTTGGGATAAATGTATCAGTGCCAAGTGACAGCAAGTTCAAGATGCTTCCTCCCCACCCACCCCAAGCTGGACTTGCTTGGTTTTTTTTTTCTTTTGAAAACTTTTCGCTTTTCATCTTTTCATAGGAATAAAAATAAGAAAACCCAGTTGCCTTTGGGAGGGAGGAGGGAAAACACCTTTGGGGCAACCATGACCTGGATGATTGAGAATCTTCGTAGACATCAGGAAGGAGCATGAAAGCTGGAGAAATACCAGGGCCTGAAAGGAGGAAGTAGAGAAGATGTGGAAAGCAAAGGTCAAAGGGGTGGCAGGAACACTCAGGGTTGTAACTCCTAAGCTGGAAGAGGGGCTCGAACAGAGCCCAGGAACAATATCAAATCTCTCTGCCCAGAAGAGTGCTGTGCTAGAACAATTAAGATACTCTGAAGGCTTGTTAGTTTTACTTTTTGTTGTTGTTCTTAAATAATGCCAACATTATTATCATGGTCTTTGCAAAATTATTTGGGAAATATTCCTGTTCCTGTTTTTTTTTAATAGCACACAAACAACTGAGGCATAATTACAAAAAAACCTCTCCATTCCATTCCATTAACAATGCTAATGTTCTCCTCCAATTGCAAAATATTGGATAGTACACAACGGCAAAAAACAACATCCAATGAAACCACAAATTAGATACCAAAGATAAATGTCCTCAGATGGGGAGGATGTGTGTCTACATTTAACCTGTTTTCAGAATGCTAAAAAGGTAGTATTTCCAATGGTTTAAAAAAAAAAACAGGTCAATTTTTTGCTTTAAATTCATCTCGAGTGCTTTGAGTCCAACAGCTGTTATGTAAGCAAGCAAAAAGTAAAGCAATGACAAGGAAGAATGAGATTCACATCTTCAGAGAAAGAATGAACATTCCCTTCTCTGTCTCCATCATTCATTGTAACTAATGCTGCTGTTTCTTTCTTTCTTTCTTTTTTAAACACCTTTCATTTCCTGACCTGCTGGCATCACAAGAACTGTTTTAAGTTTCTTTACTGTTTAAAGGCCAGGTATGAATTATTGAGATAGCCCTAGAGCAGGCTGAGATTTCTGCTGACTTGGTCTCTGTAGAAATGAACTCTTGGGGGGGGCAAACAACAGAGCCAGGCAATAGGGAAAAAGGCAACGCAAGAAAGATCTCAGCAGGGAGGAGATGGAGGATATCACAGGCCAGGTAAGTTGATGGCAGGCAGAATTATGATGACTGGGCTAAGGGGAAGAGGGGAAACTGAGGTCTCTCTACATTTTTCTTCCAGGGTGAATCACCCCAATATCTTACAACTGATTGACACATTTGAAACGAGGAAGGAATTCTACATTATCCAAGAACTGTAAGTTTGATGGGAAGTGATGATAGATAGATAGATAGATAGATAGATAGATAGATAGATAGATAGATAGATGGATAAGATAGATAGATAGATAGATAGATAGATAGATAGATAGATAGATAGATAGATAGATAGATAGATATAGGCAGATAGGCAAAAAGAATACAGAACATCAATATTAATGTACTGAAGATATGTTCTTTTTTTTCCCCAGGCTGAAATGCCAGCTTTATTGTATTTATATCTTTCCAAGGAAGTCAAAATAACATATGCAGCTTTCATATACCCTCATTTTGTTCTTCACAACAATCGTATTAGATGGTTTAATCAGGAGAGATGTTATTGGCTCAAAGAAACCAGAGATTTTTGTGGCTGATATGAATTGAGTCCTTTCCATTTCTAGGCTAGGATTACTCAACACACACACACCCAAACCAAGGATGCATGGGGGCCCCAAGCTGCTCTCAGAAGACTTGAGAGCAAACAGAAAGCCTTCCCTAACATTATCACCAAATCATGGCTTTTAATACAACAGGAAATAATAATTCTACACATGAAGGGGAAATCATATAACCAATTGAACCTGAATTACATTTTAAGGACATGAAAGGGAGTTTTAAAATTGCAGCTACCCATTTCTTTGCCCTGGCTGCATCCACACATTTCTGGACTGCAGCTGTTCACATGTCAAAGAAGTCATCTTTGAGATGGAGAAGGTTGCCATTTGGGCCCCAAACTAAAATTGAACTATACTTTAAGCATGATGGATAAACTGAACCAATGAATTCTGGTTTGTAAATATGCTTTATGGTTTATGTAAATGCAGCCAAATATATATTTTTATAGTAGATGATAGTTAAGCAACCCTTGGCTTAGTGGATAAATAGCCCAGCCCAAGTGTGACTCACCCGCCTTCAGATTGCTCCTGTTTTAGCATTCTGAACAGAGAGATTTTGTATATGTCAGGCTCTACTGTGGCATGATATGCACTGCGCCTTTGCCTATTACTGAAGCATACCATAGCTTTGCTGCAGGAGTCCAGATGACCAGGAGATGGTAGTAAAGGATGAGCCTTTCATGTATCTTTTTGTGTGCCGGAGTGGCCGTCTGGCCTCTACTCAATTCCACCTGTCAAGTTGGCTGTGGTATTCTCTACAGGGCTACCGGCGGCGATGTTTTTGACTGGATCCTAGACCAGGGGTACTACACAGAAAAGGATGCCAGCAACGTTGTACGGCAAGTGCTGGAGGCATTAGCTTATTTACATAATCTGCACATTGTTCACCGCAATCTAAAGGTAAAGAAACAGCACGGAATGCTAAAAACCAAATATTTTCAGAGCAACCGTCCCCTCTAGTGGTTTTATCTGGGATAGCTATCCTTTGAGCACTGGAAGACATGGGCTGATATTTTCAGGGGGGCTTCCTGTTGCGAAGGAGAGTGCAAGGAAGGTTGCTAATTTGGAGCTCTTTCTTTTAGCTGGAGAATCTTATGTACTACAACCAGAACAACCGCTCAAAAGTGGTTCTGCGGGATTTTTATCTCTCACGTTTTGAGAATGGTGCCATCACAGAACCATGTGGGACACCTGAATATTTAGGTATGTACTTGCCTTTGGACAGAGAAGAAATATCTCAGACTTGGGATACTTTCTCCCTGCTACGCTGCAATAACTGGGCTGAAAAGTAGAAGCTTCATACGGTTTGTAAACCGTCCTGAAAAAGAACTACACAAGACAAAAATTCAACAGGTGGTTTTTCTCTCTCCATAAGACAGAAAAGCTCAGCTCTTAAATTTCTGCCTTTTGTGCATCGACAGAATTCTCCTGGGAAATGTGAAAATAGCAAACCTAGCATCTACCTCTGACTGTGCGGGATATATCTTGCTCACATTTTCTATAGTTGTCTTTGATCCATTTGTGTCCTCCCAGCTCCTGAAGTGGTTGCTCGGCAACGCTATGGACGTGCTGTTGACTGCTGGGCTGTTGGAGTTATCATGTTTATTCTGTGAGTTCCATTAGTGTGTGTGGGGGGGGGGGGGGGGGGGAGAGAGAGAGAGAGAGAGAGAGAGAGAGAGAGAGAGAGAACGCCTGCTGCGCCTGCATGGCAAAATGCACAGAGAAAGGACAGGTCCATCTCTTTGCAGTTGCTAGGACTATCAGATCTAGGCAAACAGCTGCTAAATAGAAGCGATATGGAAAACATGAATTCTTTGCTGCCATCTAATGGTTATCAGGATTTCTGTAGCCTAGATATGCTATGCTAGGCAGACACAACAACCTTCCTAATCGAGCACATTTGAAGCACATCATTCCAAGGAGTCAGGCGAAAGCCAGCAGGTCCCAGGCTAGAGGGGGCTGTTATGTAAACATTTTTCAGCCACTTCAGCAACCAAGCAATCCCCTGCCATGTATCCTTTGGAGGGATTGGGAGAAGGATTTCATTCATACAACACTCCCCACCGCCCCCATATTCATTTAGAAGGATCAGGGGAAAAGTTCAGTATTTAAATTCCGGAGCATAGTCACACAGAAACCTCTGACTTTTTTGCACTGTAATAGGACAACCAACAGTTGTGTTTCAGGCTTCATTCTTGTCTGCAGTAAGATTCTAAACTAGCCAAACTGTGTCTTTTGCCAAACCTAGCTTAGACCCGAATTAACATTAAGGGACTAGAGACCTTTGATTTACTGCCAAACTTGTGAAGCCTAAGAGTCATGTAGGGACAAGTTGTAAAATAAGTTGAAAAATCACAAGACGTTGACCAGCATATTTGACTATATAAGCATAAATGTTACATAAGAAAATAACTTTGTAGTTTTCATGACTTCTTCTTCCCTTCCTTACCAACACAGATTGTCTGGGAACCCCCCCTTCTATGATGACACAGATGATGAAAATAGCGACAGTCACAACCGCCGAATCTTCCGCAAAATTCTGGCTGGGGAGTATGATTTTGACTCTCCATATTGGGATGATATCTCTGTCTCTGGTGAGCACTATCCAGTCTCGTTAGCTTCTCTCCCATAGACATGGAATTGTTTTTATGTACCACACCAGGCCAGGAGGAAATGGGACACCCTTGAAGACAATTCTTCTCTGCAAGTTGGAGATATGCAAGTTGTTATGTAAAGGAAAATGCTTGCTGATTTTAAGAAAGCAAAAAAACAATGAGGGAGATTGCAACTCTGCCTCATTCGCTATTCTAGTTTCCTGTCTGAAAACGAAATATTTAAAACTGCAATTCCCCATGCATTAATCTGTTCTACTTTCTTACTATGGTTCCTCTTCATCTCCTGCAATGAGGATCCAAAATCTAGTCACCTGACTCTCCTTAACATTGTCTAATTCCCTATCTTTTCTTATTTTCTTGCAGCTAAAAAGTTGGTGTCTAGACTAATGGAGGTGGATCAGGACCAACGAATCACAGCCCAAGAAGCCTTGGGACATATCTGGTGAGTGGAACTCTTTCAAACTGGAGCAAATGTATCTTCTGTGAGGTCCTGTTACCAAATGCCTGACCTAAAATAGCTTACGTGTTATATTGCATCACCTACCTAGTTATGTATCCCACATGTATCCCATGTAATGGTATCAATACTAACAGGGCAACAATAAATATTTTTAAAGATATGGCCATTTTTCTTTCCAACTCATTCCCTCTGTTCTCCCATTCATCCCCCCAATGCAAGTTTCTATCTCCTAAAATAGTATTGCAATGGAAAGACTAAATTCAAACATGTGGTTTGCTATGAAGTCATTGAATGATTTGAGGCTAGTCATTATATCGGCATTATTCTATTTTGCAGAATTATTGCAATGAGAAAAGAAATGGGTGGAGCACAATCACTGCCCTGAACAATTTGAAGGAGGAACATGTGAAATAACACTATGTTTTCTACTTTTGTTCTTAATTTGTTGAAGCTTACATCTATGCCCATATTAATCTGTTGTCCCTATAGTTGACAGACATGCAAAGAGGGAAGTGTGTAACTCTAGCAAATGTTTACTGCATCTTTAATAAAAAGCATTACAAACTGTTTCCATAGAGTCTGGTGTAACTGCTGTTGTGATAGGCACATTTTTTCACATAAATAGGGCGGTCCAAAGCCATTCCTGGATTACCTTGATAAGTAGAAAATCAGTACTGTATCTCAATTTTGATGTTAAACCAATTTGTTAAGCAAATCATATCCCTAAATTCTCTGTGCACATCTATTAAAAAACTCAGTTTATCATGTTTTAGTGGTCATTTATTTTTGCTATTCTGCTACAAATGATTTATGGTTTGCTGTTAGCTCTTTCCTAATGTCATTAAATAAGATCATTCAGGGGTTCATCGGTATGAATAAATAAAACCTCTGATAAAAGAATCTTGCTACAGGAATAGAGAACAAGCATTCAGTTCTCTAAGGAGGTGCACATAAGATTGCTCTACATAAAATACATTCCATATATTTAGGAACACCTCTTCTAAATGTTAGATGAGTTACCTAAAATAGACAATTTGTAAATTAGATACAGACCTTTTGAACTGTTCCTAGATTTTGAAAATCTGCTTACATTTCCCTGTTTGATTTAGATAATTCTTCATCCCTCACAGTGTGGGTTCTAAGCCATAATTCTGCATTCTTTCTTTGTTCTCAGGATATCTGGAAACGTTGCTTCTGAAAAGAACCTCAAAGAAGGGGTCTGTGCACAGATTGAGAAAAATTTTGCCAAGGCCAAATGGAGGGTGAGTCATTGGAATAAATCAATTCTGCATTCTGTACACCAGTTAACAAAAAAGATTGGAGCAAATCCAGAGAAGGACCTGAAACTTCAAGGGAGTAGATATTAGGTATGAGGAAGACCTTCTAGATAGTAAGAGCTGTCAATCAGTGGAAGAGGTTGCCCTATGGAGTGGGTTCCTGCTTTCCTGGAGGTTTTTAAACAGAGGCTGGAGAGTAATCTAACAGAGATAGTGAAGGGAATCCTATAGTTTGCAGGTTGGATTTGATGACCTTCCAACTCTATGATCTATAACAAAGGGAAATATGGTAAGTAATCAGAAAATAAGATATTTTAAGAGATAGGTGGGGAAAAAAGTGTCTTAATGGTGATAGGGCAGAAGGACAGATTTCTACAGATGGGCTCTTGAGGAAGAATTTTGATCTTTCAGACAGCCTGGCCTCAAGTCATGCAAGGCTTACAGGACATGTAAATACAACCATATTTTTCATTCTTCTCCCCTATGAACCTTTAGAATCCAGTGTTTTAAGGAAACCATTGGCGCAAATATATTGCTAACTGTTCTAAGGCTACAAAAGGAGGAGAAAAGGAAACCACCTTCCTGCTTTTCAACATTTTACTTCTTTAGTTCCAGCAGTTGCAAGCTGCAGATGCCTTAAATCTCTACCAGTTCTTCATTCAAGAACCAGTATCGTTTGGTACTTGGATGAAGAACCAAAAAGGGCAGCAGTTCAGATGCTCATTTCATGCCATTTCTTGATATTGCTTTTCTTATTGCAGAAAGCCATTCGAGTCACTACATTCATGCAACGTCTCCGGGCCACAGATGTCAGTGGCCGCCTCCCGGTTACTCCTCGTACCTCTATGAGCGTGGCTCACGAGGTCACCATTGAAACTCCCAGACTGGCTGAACATTTGGAAACTCCATGTTCACTAGAGGAGCAAGAGAGCAAGACAGAAGTAGCTGCTGAGCAGAGAGAATAATTGCTCTTGCTTCCCGATGCTTTCTCTGCTGGATCAACACACTCTGCTCTTCGAAGGGGAGGGTTCTGTGGGATAGCAGCATGGGGGAGCTTCACAGTGGTATTATCCATTTCCCTATTCCTGCCTATTGGTCAGGAACTACTTGGTTTGATGGACAGGCGACTGGACATCAGGGCCAATCAACCACATCAAGTTATGTATTGTATATAGGAAATAAAGCCTGAGGATCAGAGGTACCATTAGCTAGACAATTTTCAGCTGTCATCAAACGCAGTATACACCTCATACCTTTATGGGAGTATAGGCCTGCTTTTGAAGCCTTTCCCAGTAGCCAGTACAAGCCATGGCCCTTGTCCTCCAGCTTTACTTTTCCCCATGCAATGAACCCTTATGCCTTGCTGAGTGACAGTATCTCTCAGGTCCAAAGACCAAGGTCCCACAATATTTTGCATCCCTGCCTCTGCCACAGGGGCTTAGAAGACAGCACAGTTTGATCCACAGTTGCTTCCCTCAGGGTGGAAAGCCAAAAAGGGGGGAAAACTTCACCTCCTACTTGTAGATACTCTTAGGAACTAAGAACGCCTACACTGCTGGGTAAAATTATCCAAAGAGAATGGAAAAGAGGGTAATGCCAAATTAGCAAAGCAAGAATCAGAAGACTGTCCATTCCACAAGTCAGAGGTCAATTTTCCAACTTTTTACCCATTCTGCAGTGCTGGTCTCACATGTAATTGTTAGCAGGGACAGCTTGGAAAGGGAGTGATGACGAATTGTTACTCTGTTAACTTGAATCTCAACCTCAGCTGGACTGTGGAAGGAGGGCATGGAGTAAGTGGGATGCATGTCCAGGCCAGCTGCATGTTTTATGAAGATGTTATTTTAATACAGAAAATCCTAGCTGCCCTCTCCTGGTGCTGTCTTTCCCTCCTCTGAGGCAGCTCTGGGAAAGAAAATAAACAGGGTCTTTCTCTGATTATTGTCTTTTTTTAAAAAAAGAAAAAAGAAAAATGTGCTTCTTGGTGATGAATTTATCATCCAGGTACCTCAAAAATTCCCAAACAGATTTGGAGAGAAGAGTAAGAACCTATTTTTAATTTTCCTGCTTTGAAAAATACAAGATTGTGTTCTCAGAACACACTTATTTAGGCTACAGAACCCATTCATTCAGGCTACTTATAAAGACCTAGCAATTTCAGTTGCACCCATTGCTAAATCGGAGTGTTAGCCTTGATTAGTCTGTTTGGCTAGTTCAGTCCAAAGTATATAGCCTAGAAAATGGGTTAACTAGATTTAGTGACCAAGTTAAAAGTGTTGGGTTATTGCAGCTTAAATACATTACAGTGCTTAGACCTCTTTCCAACTTATCAGTCATCCTATGTTAAAGTTATATTTTGATTCCCAGTAAGAAAATATATTGAAACTGAAGCATGGAGAAACCTCAGAATAATCACATGTTTTTGACTGTTGATTCTAAAACAAATGAAGTTCACGTTAATATTTTTTTTTTAAATCCTTGCCATCCTATGCAACCTACTGCCCTCCAGACATGTTGAACTACAGATTCCAAAATTTTTGTTTAACACACCAGGAGGAAAACTGGGTTTGCCTCTCAATTGAGAAGAGGAATTTTGCAAAATATACAATACATATTATGTATTTTTTTAAAGTGAATCCTTTTGAATTCAAATGGAACATGAAATACTATTACCTATCAATAAAGTTGATCCACCTTGAGATAGTTCAGTTGTCACCAGAACCAGCAACCTTCTTATACCCAGGGCCATATATCTGAGAGTTACCCATCTTTCATACATCTCCAAATCAAAGCAAAAGATGTGTCAGAATAGTTTGGATACTTTTGGAAGCATTTTTTGGTTCCCAAATAGCAGAGATCAAGCTATTGTGCGTGCTTTGGAATAAATCTACATTAAAAAGCAGAACCTTGATATTGTATACAAGTTTCTAGTCATTTTTGGTTTTGATTAAGCTGTATTTTCCCTGTCCCATCATATGCCTCCATGTCAAATGTGAATTTACCTGAGGAAAACATTGTGGACCGAATGATGCCACTCCTTCAACACTAAAGTGATGATCCCAAGTGGTTATGATTATTCAAAGGATAAAGAAACCATTCTAAGCAGGTTCTATTTAACTAAGGCCATCAAAGGAGGATATGTTTCCATTATTATTTGGTTCAAATGAACCTGCCAAATTCTCCCATCAATCCTCTTCTTTTCTTATGCTCCTCTGTCCAATGCTCCTTCATTTTAACGTTTCTCACGTAGATGTCTATTTCTATTTCTATATTTGATCTCATTCGGTCCTCCTGCTCCTTGCATCCCGTTAACGATCGCCCTCTGCTTCGGTCCTTTTTGACGACCACTCGTCTGATTTACCTTCAATTCACGCGACCTCAGCAGCCACGTGCTCACTTACCCATCCAGCCGATTATAAACTACATTGCCCAAGCAGCCTTGCGCTCGTTGAGCTCCACCATTCCGAACGTGGTGGTGGGGAGAACCGCCGCTTTGATTCCGCTTCTTTCAATCCAGCAATTCTTTCCCCCAAAAAGGATCTCCACAGGAAAAATAGCATTTCGTCATAATACTGCACAGGGATATTTATATGGCTGACAGGAAAGCGGATGGCACCGCTCAGGGAGGTCTGAGGCACCTTTCTCCCCTCTACCCCTGAATGAGCTAGGCCGACTCCTTCATAGCAGGCGGCGACGAGGGCCTGCAGGCATCTGTAGCGGCGGGAGCAGAAGCCGGAGTTGGAATTCAGGCGGTCCAGAGTGGGGGGGTAAGATCCGAACCGGGGGAGGCATGAAGAAGAGGGCAAGGAAGGGGCGAGAAGGGCCAGCTTTCCCCTCTGGTGCGCGGGGGGCATCGGTTAGCAGCGATGGTGATAAAATGATGGGCGGAAAGGCTGAGAGTGGAGAAGGAACGTGGGGGGCGGAGGCGGCGCGTTGAAGCGCAAGGTCATTTTGCTGATGGGGGGCATCAAGGTCTCTCTGGAAAAGGTATGCCCGGGGAAGAAAAGTTCACAGCCTGTCATGCAGTTTGCAGGGTGTGTGTCTGTCGGTGGGGTGGGGTGGGGGGTTCCACTTCCCCACCCCCAGTATTTCCCAGCTGGGCATATTTTTGTCTTACGGTGGGATCGAGCAATATGGATGGGTTTACCGAAAGCATTTTTTCCCCCAGCTCGGCCATCCTGCGCCCCGTTGATGCTGAGTTTGGGTCCCGTCCGTTGGTAGATAATCAAGACAGATGCATATACGGTACATGCATAAGATAAGCGAGAAGGTGTAGTCACTCCCCTTTATTTAGCTCGGGACAATCCACAACGTTTCCTATTCTTTATATGAGACGCATCAGTGGTCAGGGGAACCTCACTATCTCCTGAGCCAAAAAAAAAAAAAGGAATCTCAAAACTCCCCAGAGACAACCTAAGTTTGGATGTGAGGAAAAACCCGGCCTCAGCAAAGCAACCTGCTCTGGCTCTCTCTAGTGATCAGTGGGATCCCTTTCTTTATTCAGCATTACATTCGTGGCACGTTGGCCTGGAATACTGGCTTTAAAAGGATTGGTTAATCTGTGCTAGGTATTTTCACTTCCAACCTTTTTCTGGGTTGTGCTCATGGAACAAAAACCCTGCCTTTAGTGCTGCTATGAAGCCTCTAATAGCATCTTGGGTCTTGGCTCTTTCTTTGTGTATTTGGAGGAGACAAAGGGTTGTAATCAGTTCTGTTGCAAGGCTTGTCAGGAAGGGAATGTGAATTTAAATGAGGCAGGCTTAACTGGGCTGCAGAAATTTGGACAACCAGTATATGACAGAAAAGAATTGGGATTACTGCCATCTAGTAGCTGTCTGGAGGTTTGCAGCCCAGACTTGGTAGACCTAAGGAAATCTCTATGAGAATAATGCAAGAGAAATTTCCTTTATCAATAAGTAATTATGAGAATTGCTTTTTTTTTTGGCGAGTTTAAACCTGACACCAACAAAAAAGATCTACTTTTAGGTAATTTGGGTAACTTGCAGTAGATTTGCAAGCACCTGATTTTTAATTATAATGCCTCACTTTAAATTATGCTGATGAAATATTGAAAGTTTGGACACACTTGGAATGGGTTTTTGTGTGCAGGGCTGTAAGCTCTATTCAGTTACTCTTACCCCAGACTTCAGTTTGTGTATCTCCAGGATTTTAATAAGAAGACAAGATAGATCCCATAAACCTGAAGACTGGCAGTCTTCTTTAACTCTGGGAGTAAGAATGTCCTGGTGTGTACCATAGGAGAGCTGGACGGATCTAATATTTCTCTGATATTTCTTTCTTTTAATTAGACCACCTAGGTTGCCAGTTGGAGTTCTGTATATGGAGGGAAAATAATTTTAGATAGCCGTATGCCGACTAAGGTTAAACATTTATGCTTCCAAATATATGGCTCCAAACAAACATTTAAATCCAGGTTCAAAACTTAGCTTGCAATTCTTTCTCACACACTTCTTTCACTGTGGCAGCCATTGAAGCAAATTTGTTGATGTTAAACAGTTGTAAAAAAAGAACCTATAAATATCTTATTCCTGCATATCTACAAAGGAATTTATATAGATATCTGCTCTCAGTACTTGATGTATGTGGATTTATTGAATCCATGAAAAATAATGAATAATCTTGATTTAGCTCCTCCATTTTCAGACATGCCTTAGGCTCCAGTGAAGCACTGACCTCTTACAAATTACTTTTCTGGAATTAGGAATTGGGCTGTTAGATGATAAATGCCTTTCACAGTCACAGTTTTATTTTAGAGATTGCTGTCCATTCCCATCTGTAGGAGAAAAACCCTGTTAGTTTCTCACTTGTATAAGTCTCCTTTTTAAGATTGAAGCAGGAGGGAAATCTGATATTAAGAGCCTCTGAGTCTCTTGTTGGGGAATAGTGTGAAGTCACATTAGTACAATAGGCTTAAACACAAGACTGCACAGTGAATATGACACTGCTTGTGGCTTTGCCTGGCATGCTGTCCTTGCCTCCTATCTGCAACAGGCCGGAATGGTTTATAAACAATGAATTTGGCTGGCTTATAGCTAAGCATATCTTCTAAACTCAAGATACATGTGCTGAAGTGTGTTATTGTGTATGCAACACTATAAATGGTCCTGTTAACGGTAGTCAAAAAAATCTTTGCAGACAGGATCTCAGAGTTTGCAAAGGCCTTGTTAGCAAAGAAAAGAATCTGAGGTCTCATTTGAATTTTTTAAAAAAATCTTGATTTTATCAACTAAACTTTATAGTTGATTAATAAAGTCTTCAATCTTTGTCAGAATATAGTAATTCTTTAATACTTTAAGGCTAAACTTAACAGAACTATGGAATAAATCTGTATTGTTCAGGAAAACAAGACTGTGTTATTGTCTTTCAGTGAAGTCATAAAATAGTTTGAATAAGTACCCCAAAATGTAGAATTCATTCAGTCTTTTTTATACATTTTGCCTATTTCTTATAATTGATCCGTTTGACCTGGTTAACAATGGTTAATAATGGCCACCTGTTAATAAGCTGTTAAAATACTTCGGAATACAATTTGTGCTTTAAGTCAGAAG